CCAGAAATGCCAGAAATATTGGGGATGGGGATCTGGATTCCTGTTAAGTTTCTTTTTTCTTTTCTTTATTTTTCTTTCTTTTCTTTTTTTTTTTTTTTTTTTTTTTTTTTTTTTTTTTTTTTTTTTTTTTTTTTTTTACAGAGCAAAAAGCACAATTACCTAGAAGCTATACATAAAGGTGTAAATGAAACTCCAAAACAGATGCTTGGAGCAGAAAGGTACATAGACACCTAAGAGGTGTGACAACCATATTGACCAGGTCACATCATAAGCATCAAGCCAGAAAAGGCTTATTAACCTCTAGACAATGACCCTTGATGGCAAACTAATTTTTTAATTTTTATGTTTTTTTCTTTATTAAGAAAATGTTTATTCATTTTACATACCAACCACAGAACCCCCTCTCATCCGTCCTCCTAAGGTAAGGCCTCCCATGGGGAGTCAGCAAAGGCTGGTACATTCAGTTGAGGCAGGTTCAAGACCCTCCCCGCTGCATCAAGGCTGTTCAGTGTGTCATTTTATTTTGTGTGTATGAGTGGTTTGTCTCCATATGTTTGTGCACTGTATGCTTGCCTGGTGCCCTTATGGATCAAAAAAAATGTCAAATTCCCTGGAACTGAAATTATGAATGGTTATGAGCCACCATGTGGGGCTGGGAACTGAACCTTCGTCCTCTGCAAGAATAAATAGTGTTCTTATCCACATAGCCAGTCTCTTTCCCTGACAATTCATTTACTGGACACTCAAAGTGTCCATTCTCTAGCCTGGGCAGTGCTTAAGAGTCAGTGGTGCTGACACAAGCTGTTTCCTGACCTATTGTCTGACAACTCAGAAGCGAACTCTTGATTGAAATTCTTCACATCCTCCTGGAAATCCCGTACAGTGTAGATCCTTTGTGGAATATCTTCCACTTGACTGTGTAGATTAATGTCACTGTGCAATGAAACCCACCCAAAACTCAGGAAAAGGGTTTTATTAGTTTTAATTTCTTGTGTTGTTTTCTTTTTATACTATTTCTTCAAGTGGAAATGTATCTTCTAACCATTAAAATATATCCTGGTTTGTTTTTATTTTACACAATTTTGAAGGAGATTTTTTTTTACATGTGTAATGTAAGGTATCGACTATAGTGAGCTTTAGTTGACAACAACTGAGTTTCAACTACTACTGAAAAATGAGCTGATGACTTTGCATCTTATGCACCACTACTTGCATATTCCTCCAACACAGACTAGTGGTAAAGTCCACGGAACTTAAGCCTTGGGTTGTTTTTGTCTGCATAATAAAAGAAAGGCAACAAGGTAGCACAGTGCATCATAAATAAACCTGCATATGATGTAAGCATGTAAGTCACGTGAAAGTTAATTTACTGAATTTGTATTCTGTAAACCATAATAATAATCATGCATTCAATAAGCACTTAAGCCTGGCTTCTATCTCCTTAATTTGCTACTCTTTTTAGCTACCATAGTTATATTCCTTGCCATATTTTCTTCACTATTTCAGGAATAAATGACATATGCACTTAGAATTATTAAGGTGGATTTTCAACTTAATTAGTTTGAGAAGCACACGGGAGATTAATGAGTATCTGGGTGTTTCTGTTATAGTATTTCCAGAAAAAAAAATTAACCATGAAAGAAAAACTTGCTGTGAATGTGGGTGACACTATCCCACAGGGCTGGATCAAGTAAAAGAGAAGAGAGCTAGCTGCCACACTCATTTTCTCCCAGGTGTTTCCTAGTTTCAATGGGTTACACAGTTCTGGTATGTCTGGTTTTACTCCATGGTGGACTAAAACCTCTGAAAACATACACCAAAATAATACCATCCATTCTTCTTTATGTCAGATGTATATCACAGCTATGAAAAACAAAAGAAAACGAAGAGTGCCATCTACTTAAATTTCAAGTTATTATTCATCTTTTCATAGCCCTATAATATTTCTACCATGGTAAGAATCCTAAGATCAAATGTTGCAAAACTATATTCAAATTCTGAAATTTTTGAAACTATTATCAAATTCTATAAGGAAACATTGATTCAGAAAGTAATTAAACTCTTTCTCTCTTTATACACATACAACCTCTATATATACCATAAAAATTAGTATTTGAGTGGTAAGGACTTTTAAACCCAATATCAAATAATATAAATTTCCAATAAAGTTGGATAAATTTACAAGACTCGATATTTTTGTGATCAAAATAAAAAATGAAAGTCTTAAACAGAAACATGGTTTCAAAAAGGCAAATGTATTTTACAATTCCATCTCACTAGCCCTTCTTATGTGTGCTGAGCAGTGGCTAGTTTTGTTTCTGCATCAATAGTTCTGGCCTTGAAGAAAGAGAAATTGCTACAGACAGTTGTTCCCAGCAATAAACAACTTCACCTTGATATGACTGTGACACCAAACTCATAAGTCTTCACATCATGGAGTTTCAGATTTTCTCCTGACTCTCTTGTACACACATATATCTTGGCTGTCAGCCCCAAAGTTTAACTAAACCCAAAAAAGACACACACAAAAGAGACAGACTGACACACACACACACACACACACACACACACACACACACACACACACTTACCATACCCCAACCCTTGAATTTCATCTGATTTTCCTGGACAAATTCTTTCAGGATTGCAACCCAAGAGTTTATACAAAACTGATGACCAGGGAATAGCATCTCATCTATCTGTACCATCTAGTCCTGCAGCTGTCCATTGGCCTAATCAATCAGTTTCTTGGTATCATCATATAATCAAACCTCACTTCATTTTATGTGCTAAAATATACATGTCAATAGAAAGTTAAGTTGAAACATAAAATTAAGGTGAATTCAAAGAATATAATAAACTCTATAACAATGCTCCCCCAGTAAAGGTATTATTTGCAGTCATTGGCAGTCAACTCCCAGACTCTTTGAAGATCTGCTTTCCCTTCCTGCTTGTTTTGTAAGCCATGTGCAACCCTTGGTGTTATACATTTCACATTGTTTATACTATGGTAGGAAGAACGCCTTGTCATTCCTATTTTCTATTCACAACGGTTATTATTTAGTTTGTCATACCATGGTCTCCTTTTTTAGGTTCCTTCACTACCACCTCTTCCTCCCACATAAGCTATTATTCCTATTCCTCCTGAGCCTGGAAGGGTTCAACTACTGCTATTCTGTGCAGTTTCCTCTCCCCTGACTGTGTCCCACCTTGACACTCTCTTTGGCTGCCTCCTCAGTTAAGCATTAAGGCTGCCTACATTTTGAGAGAACTGCTTTCAGTTTACTGTTATCCCAGGATGATCTGGAAATCTCATATAGTTTACATTATTAATAGCTGAGAAGAATTTGGTTTTTACTCCATTGCTTAAACCCTGGAATGTTTCCATTTTAATGAATCATGGTTCCTACATAACTCAACAGGATGGAGTAGTTCTAAGCAGAATTTCAACCATCCCTGACACAGGGAGAGGAAATATTTGGGATGAAAATATTTATCACTAAACCATAATCCTTGAGATGACAACATTCTATGTATATGTATGTCCTACATAAATAGAAGCCAATGCTTAAGTTTGTACAAACATAAAGTCAAAACTAGAAGCAAAAATCTAAGCTGTGAAATGGTTGTCATGAATTTCTTAATGCAGACCTTTATTCTCTCCTCAGCTTCCTGTTTTTGCACAGTGATACCATTATCCTCAAGTAGATTCTGTGACTTCTCCATCTTCACAAAGATGGTGAGCAACTTTACTGGCTTTAGATAGATCCTTTATCTTAGCTGCTTATTTTCATTTACCTTGAAAAACTACTTCACACTGTTGGGTATTATAAATCATTTTTCTGTCCTCATTGGGTACAAGTCTTTGTAAAGTCCACTTCCATGTTTACCACCCAGGGCTACCCTCTTCTCAAGATGTGAGAGGGACCTCTTTGAAATATAAGAAAAAAGAAAGACAGTGCCCCAGCACCCTGCTTCAACTTATTATTTGTTGATTTCCATGAATGTAGATGTAACCAACTGTCTTATTAAAATAAGAAACACAGAACCAATGTAAAAGAGAAAGCTGAGAGGTCAGAGCTCAGAGCTAAAATCTTACCTCCTGCAGTGCTCCTAGCTTCCCGAAAAAGAGAGCTATTTCCTGTGTGTCTGTCTTTAAATAGTCTTTCTGTTCTGCCTTCTCATTGGTTGTAAACACAAACACATGACTGCCTCATCACTGCCTGTAAGTACTGCCCTCCACGTCTTAAAGGCGTATGTCTCCAATGCTGGCTGTATCCCTGAACACACAGAGATCTACCTAGCTCTTCTACCAAGTGCTGGGATTAAAGGCGTGTGCCACCGCTGCCGCCACCGCCACCACCATGCTCTTGCTATGGCTCCAATAGCTCTGACCCCTGGGCAACTTTATTTATTAACATACAATAAAATCGCATTTCAGCACAAATAAAATACCACCATACATGAACATGTAAGAAAGTTTATTTTTCTTTGCGTGAGGCTAGTATATATCCATGGGGGAAGTCAGTCCTCCATGTCAGCTCTTACCCACTCTCCTGCTTTTCTTTTCAGCAGAGTTAAATTTCTTTTTTTAATAATTTTTTAAAGATTTATCTATTTATTTTATGCATGTAGTGCTCCATCTGCATGTACACCTGCACGCAAGAAGAGGACATCAGATTCCACTATAGATGGCTGTGAGCCTTATATGGTTGCTGGGAATTGAACTCAGGACCTCTGGAAAAGCTGCCAATGAGCAACCTCTGAGCCTCTCCAGACTCCAGAGTTAAATTTCAAGTGGAGTTTTGACCACTCACACATATTGCAGTAGCCTTGAGTAATGATCTTAATGTCTATTTAACTTTTGATCACATTTTACATTGGCAGACTACACATGGATAGATGTGAGTACCTATATCCGAGCTGCATACAAATGCACCAAGATCATTCATGGGCTAAATCTCTGAAGGCAATGGAAGGAAGCAGAGAAAGAATAATACCTTTGCTTTTCACATCAGTGCTGGGTTCCTTCTCACTTTTCTTTTTGGCTTCTCCTTTTTCTGCTGGTAAAGTAAGAAAATTATAAGCCTCTAACTAATTCATTCATGTATGTTTCAGAGTACACATGACTATCATTAAGGCACCAGTTTACTTTGCAGAGAGAATTGTAAGTCCAAGCCATATGTCCTGCCACAAATGGACATACTACTCCCCTTCAAACATACTCTGAGCTTAGGTGTGCTATCTAGCTTTGAAGGAGCATAATTTGATAAGGAGAACAGATCTTTAACAAAGTTAGAAATATTAAATACATTATTAATTACTGTAGAATTACTGAATAGTTTCCTGAAATATATTAAAAGGAATAGATTGAGTGTGACCTGAGCTATCTGGTCATGGAAGTATATTAGAAATTTTTAACTCCCTGAAAATCATTTGATATTATCAAAAAATATTAGCAAACAAGTATCGAGAAAAGAAAAGAAAAGAAGAAGAAGAAGAAGAAGAAGAAGAAGAAGAAGAAGAAGAAGAAGAAGAAGAAGAAGAATGTTCTAGCAAACTATTCCATGAATTTTTCCCACTGTTTAAATAATTCGACCTTTTGATGGTTGTTTTTAATAAAAATCAAAGAACTAAATAATAATCTTCATTACACACATGTATACACACTATATATAATGAGCAGTCACTCCAGAAAATGAAAAGAAAAATATCACATTTTTAACAAATGGGTTTAGGACCAGGCAATGTGGTGCAGCCTTGGAATTTCAGGTCTCTGAGGCAGAGGGATCATGAGTTCCAGAACAGACTGAGCTAAACAGAGAAATCTTATTTTTAAATGAATATGCAAATAAAGGGTTTTAAATATTTTCTTCAATTCTAATTTTATTTTGGAATATTTGAAAAATCCTGAGTGTTTTCAATGACAATGACATTCAAGGGAAACTCTTTCTGAGAAAACAGTAACTTTGCCAGCCATGCTACAAAACTACTATTTGATTTAGGTTTTAGGTAGCTTTTCTGTTCCTTACCTTTCTTTTTTGTTTCAGAAGTAACTTTCTTCTCTGCTTTCTTTGCCTCCTCTTCTTTTTCTGGAGAAGAAATTGAAACCATCCCCATTAAGGAAACTCATTAAGGAAGGAACCAATTGAAAGGATTGCTGCTGACCGGGGTATGCCTCCAGGCACCTTGGGACTCCGCAACAAGCCTCAAACTGATACCAACTCTTCCCCATTTTAAAAATAAGAGTAATCCCATCAAAGCTAGACAGTGCCATCAAGCATCCCTCACAGTGTCTTGCTCAACTCTAGGTAATATTTTTTGTTCTATTCATATACTTATTTTATTAAAAATAATGTTAGACCAGTGTTTCTCAGCCTGTTGCAACCTTTGGAGGGATCAAATGACCCTTTCTCAGGGGTTGTCTAAGACTATAAAAAAAGATAGTCAGTCACATTACAATTCATAAAAGTAGCAAAACTACAGTTATGAAGTAGCAATGAAAATAATTTTGTGGTTGGGGGTCACCACAACATGAAGAATTGTATTAAAGAGTTGCAGCATTAGGAAAGTTGAGAACCACTGTGTTAGGCCATTCTGAGTTGTTTTTTTTTTTTTTTTCTTCCCAGCACTGGCTCTTGTCAACAGATATTTAGAGCTGATGACATTTGCGTGGCAGGGTGGCAAGGATGTTACCTTCACTACCCTTTCTGAGCAGTTGCACAATCCAGAGTGCTCAGCTACATGAGGTTGTACTAAGTCTAAATGCCACGCAAAATGATGTGTGGTTCCATTAAATTGCCATGCAAAATGATGTCCATTAAGTTTCCTGGAAGATGCCTGTTTCGGATATCTGAAGATGCTTCGGAGTGACTAGGACCAAGAAGAAAAATCAAGGGCTGGCCAGCTATACCTGGGACTTCCTGGGGCATTTTTCCTGGTAAGTCTACTCATTTCAAATAACAAAACCAAGTGCTTGCATCCAGTTGCTGCCATGAAATTCTGTGACTTTAGGCTTGAAGATTTCTTAACATTGCAAACTGATTTTTACCTTCAATTGGTAGAATTATTTATCATGTATTTGAAATAGCTTTCTCTTTGTCACTTGTCTGTCATTTTCAGGAACTGACGTGGTCTAAGTTTTTCATTTGTCAGAATTATCATGAGATTTTTACCATGCTGAGTGAGGATATCCAATGTGCAATTCTAAGATGAATGCTTAAGTTGTCTAAGAACTGCGTCTAATTAAATACAGGAATTAATTCATCCCCTCAGGTACAGAGCTTTGTTACCTACAAGATCAAAGCTAACACTTTGTTTTAGTGTTGGAAGCATAATTTATAAAGAGCCCCTTTCCACTGCTCCCCGAGATAATCTAGCATTGCAAGGAGACACATTCGCACTTTGTCTAAATGTGTCTACAGAGTACTTCTGCAGCTTGTTCAGTCTGAAGGAGAAAGTTGAGAAGGCAAATTTTTATCATTCCAGAGTTAGAGATAAGGCAATTAAAATTCACCTTGCCTTTCCCACAAGGTTTACGCATAAGCAAAGTATATTTAAAATTTTGAATAAAGATATTTTAAAGTATTACTACATTTGGTTTCTTCTCTGGGAGAAGCTAAATGCAGCAGGGCATTTCCCGTATTGCTAAGTTAATAAAAAAAAATACCAAGTAATTGAAAAGGCATTTGCTAAGTATTATCATCTAATATCATGAGTCAGAAAAGAGGCCAATTAAATATAAGGACTTGCAAATATTTCTAAGACCATACTAATAATGCCACAGCTACCATATGATCACAAGTCAGTACCTGAATATACATTTCCTACTGTGGAGGAATAAATATTTCATTAGAAAGTCTGCACCAATTAGTCAACGGTGCACCGAACTTCACAGTTGAAGAAGATGTTTGAGGCCGTGAGGTGTAAGCTGTTCTTTTCAAGTTTTTAAAAGAGAATGTTCTTGTGCAATGAATCCCATGCTTTGAATTGATATAGCTAGAATTTTATTATGGCAGTACAGTATTCTTGCCTAAGTTCAGATTGAATTAATGTTTCCATTATACACCCTGCCTGTGATTATAGCCATATACATTGAGACTCATGAATAAGAGTAGAAGTCCTCAAAAGGTAGATATAAATAATGTACTTTAATAATGTTTTTATGAATTAGACCTTTAAGCTATCATTATGGGACTTACTGTATTCATGGGGAATTTCATATAAAACGTCAGCTTCCAACGATTCTGCATTTCTCAAGCACTGTTGTCTGTGTTTTGTAGGTGATCAGTAGCAAAGATATAAAATTTTTCATTTACAAAAGGCACGGAAATTTAATTATGTCTTACTGGGGCATAAAAATAACCCATGTTTCTTTTATGAAGACACTCCTTATTCAGACATTTTCTTCCTCATCATCCAACAATTCCCTTCCCATGTGACTATGCATTCATACAGACATTTCTCCTAGTCTTGTCTCCTAATGTGTTTATTTTTTTTGTTTGCAACAGCTAGAGAAGGGTTACAGACTTTAATGATACTAGTTTTCAAATAGTTAGCAATTACACGTATGTGTAAGAGACGGACATGTCAGCACATTGTCTTTCTCTGACCAAATGGTCCTAAGCCTTGAAGTGACGGTTCTATCTGGCCAAGATCATGGGAAAGGCAGTTGTTGGGAAGAGGGATCCTTGTTACCACTTGAGGCTCTGAGCCAACAAAAATGTTATTAGCTTCTGCATAAATTAACGTCAGATGAAAGAAAAATTAAAAGCCTTACTTTTCACTCCCTAAGGCCTTACTTACAATAAGCTTTTCTCTTCATTTTAAATGTTTGTATGCCTTCCCGAAGCCAGAAAACATACAATGGTTAACTATAGTTGTAAAGGTTTCTAATACACTGGTTTCTAGCTAAAGTAAGAAGTGAATGCAAATAGTTTCAACTGTGTCTTCTGTTTTGCTGGTCTTCCCCAAGTCTTCTAGTACAGAGATTTGCATGAACTCGACATGGCAGTGGAATGTTTTTCATCGCTGCAGGGCCTGGATTAGTATATTTTTGCTTCCCGTCAAATCTGGTCCCACTCCTTCCATGACACGCTGTTCCAGCATTCCTTGTCACTGGCACCTTGTTTCTCTGGAGTGGTAGAGATTGGCCTGCCACCCAGTTCATGGCATGACCATGGAAAATAGCATAAAAGGAGATGAGCTCAATCATATGAGCAGTTATTAGACTTTATGCCATTGTTATCTCCAGGGTGTAGGATAAGGAAGAATGCACACTGTCCTTGGTCTTAATTCTGTTTTTTGACCTTTCCTGGTTGTATAATATTGGACATGTGCTTTGACAAACTAAATATCAGGTAACTAACAAGCCATACCGTGCTGTTTTGCTGTGAGGATTGGAGATAATTGAACTAAAATATCTGGAACAAAGTAGCTATTAAACATACAATGAAAATAATGACCAGCATTTGATAAATAATAGAAATGTTAGTACATATAATCTTTAGTATTTTTCTAGGTGTGAGTTTTATTGATTTTTGTAAGTACAAATTATCTATCTTTCTGCATTCAAGAAATGTATGTCTAAAATAGTTCTTCCTGAGAAACCTCAGGGAAAAATATACACATATAGAAGTATATCTGTTTACAGCATAGCTGTGATGTGATAAAGAAGCAAACTTCTGGCTGTCATTTGGTTATGGTTTGTTAGTTACCATTTACAGAAGGATGAACTGAAATTTAGTATCTCAAAGCAGATGCCCAACATCATGTAACTAGAAAAGGTCAAGAAGAGAATTCAGATCCATGACTTCCATGCTTTCTTATCCTATACCCCCATACCCTGTAAATAAAACAATGTGGAAAGTCTAATAATTGCTCATTGTCTAATGCAACTGTTGAGTACATTGTAGACCTTCCATCTTTAACTGTAAATTATAGGGAAAGGACTTGGAATGTATTTAAATTTATCATTACTTAATTCCTATCTTCAAATGAAATTCACATAATCTTTCACATATTAATCAGTTTTACTAGAAATAGATTACATTAAAAAAACTTTAGAGTTGTAAGTAGCCATTATATACTGTCTGTATTTCACAAAGCTATTCAGCAAAAGAGGTGCTTAAGATATACAATGTTTTCTGGGCCGTGGTCACTCATGCTTTTAATACCATCACTTGGGTGGAAGAGAAATTCAGACCTTGTCAGTGCAAGGCCAGCCTGGTCTACAGAATGAGTTCTAGAACATCTAGGGCTACACACAGACAAACCCTGTCTGGAAAAAAGATATATAATGTTGTATGGTGATGATAAGAATTAGAAAAAAGTGACATAATATCCTACTTTGCTTTAATGTTGCTGTCATAAAAACCATGTCTAAAGACAATTTGGGAAAGGGAAGGATTTATTTGTCCACCTGCCTAGGGATCATACCACCCACATTATGTTGGGCCCTCCTACATCAATCTATAATCCACAAATCACCCCATAGACATTCCTAAAGGCCATTTGACTGACTCAGTTCTTCAACTCAGAGTGCCTTTTCCAAGATCCCTCAATTTGGCAATTTAAACTATTACACTTGTTTTAGCCGATTAAGGAATCTGAACGTATGACAAAGCATTGTTTTCATTAGGGTTGATCATGGGTAAATCATTCTTCATGGTGATATTAAAAAAAACTAGAGAAAACAAAAGATAAAAATGCTTGGGCTATTTGTCAAGAAGTAACACACCTGCTGAGACTTTCAAACTGAAGCGTGCTAGATACATAGAAAATACGGTGGAGGACTGCATACAGGCAGGGTGCAAGATTGGGGGCAGGGTTCTACTGTGGCCCATCATGTGGAATATTGTGGCTTATGCGACAATATTTCTTCTCACAGTAGCATAGGACAGTACTAGGATACATTAAGCACATAAGTTCCATGTTTAGGTGATGGCATGGAGAGGCTTTGCTTCTGGGGGTGTCAAGTACCCCCATTGGATTATGTGATGAGATGATAAGGAAGAGTTAGGGAAAAGTCAGTGTGAATGTTCTTTTGTTGTTGTTCATCATTAATTTTTTTCCTTTGAATTTTAACTGGGGC